GAAAATATATTACCCCACTCTACAGGTTTTCTCTTCACTCTACTGTGTCCTTTGTTGTGCAGAAGCTTTGTAGTTTGATATAAACCCATTTGTCTATTTTTAGTTTTATTGCCGGGGTTTTTGTGGTCATATAGAAAATAACATTGCCTACATCAGTTATTAATTTGGTTTGGTAGAATTCTATTGAGGATTTTTTGTATCTACGTTTATGGGTATATGGTTTGCAATTTTCTTTTTTTTGCAATGTYCTTGCTTGGCTTTGGTATCAGGATAATGATGACCTTGAAAATGAGTTTTTGGAGTAATCCACCTCTTCTATGTTTTTGTAAAAGTTGGAGGATTGGTGTTTGTTTTTTAAATGTTTGGTTGAGTTCACTGGTAATGCCATTAGTAGGAGGGTTTTGAGTGTTAATTTCAGTTTACTCATTATTGGTCTATTCATATTTTTTATATATTCATGATTCATTCTGGGTGTGRTATATGTCTGGGAATTCATCTGTTTCTTCAGGGTTATCCAATTTCTTGGTATTTAATTGTGAATAGAAGTTTCTGATGATCCTTTCTATTTATGTAGTATCAGTTATAATGTCTTTTTTCATTTTTTATTTCATTTTTCAGAATCTTCTCTCTTTCTTAATCTAGCTAAAGGTTTGTCGATTTTATCTTTTCAAAAACAAATCTTTGTTTTGTTGATTTTTTTCTGTTGTGTTTCTAGTTTCTATTTCATTCATTTCTGCTCTGATCTTTTATTATTTCCTTCCTCCTGCTCATTTTGGGCTTAGTTTGTTCTTATTTTTCTACTTCCTTGAAGTATATTATTGTTTATTTGTGATCTTTGTTCTTAGTTGATATAGGCATTTTTTTTGCTATAAGCCTCCCTCTTAGAAGTGATTTTTATGCATTCCATAAATGTTGGTATGTTGTATTTCATTTTCATTTCTCTCCAGAGCAAGCCATGTGCTCTTAAAGGCAATGTAAATGCCTGAAATGACAATGCAGAGCATCATTCAGTACATAATGTCATGGTACAAGTAGCATAGTAAATAAGGAGACAATAGGAGGTAAAGGAGATAATTAAAATAAGGGAATATGACTCTGGTGTATATTTTTGAAGACAGTGAGTTGATGTGGTTACCAAAAAGCTGCACAGTGAAAAGTAAAACAAATTTAAAAAGTAGAATCTTGACTCCTACCAAGTTTTGGTTCTTGCTATAGGAATATGTCTAGCTTATTGAATTAACAATCAAATTTCTTACTGGTTTACTCCTCTGTACTTCCCAAAACTTACAAAAAGTTATTGTAACTGGATTGATAAATAATGTGAATTATTTAAGTACTTTGGTATTTGACTTCCAGGTCGTGCAGTTTATATTTACTGACTGTCATGGAGTACATATTATAGATTCATGTAGAAACAGCATGATGTTGCCTGTAGAGCTMGTTGCATACCTATATCCCTAATCTTCCTGTATCCCATGTTTCTCATATTTTAAAGTATTACAATGATGATRCTTATTTCATTTCCCTCTTTTCTAACATTCTGTTTATTTTAGTGCAGTCTGTGCCTTAGTTCTAGCATAATTTTGTAAGATACAGCCTCTATTTGATCAGGACTGATTTGAAACTGTTGCTACAGGTATCCAAAAGACACTTTTGTGAAATATTTAGTYAGTATATGTTTTCTTAGTTTCAAATTCTTGCTTTGTCCTTGAGATCTTTGTTAAAAATTTTTCTCTAGATTTTGCTTCATATTAGGATTACTTAATGAAGAGGGTGAAACTGCCAATTTTTATCATTGGATGATTGGTTGTTATTACTTGAAATGAATTTTGCAAATACTATCTTAGCCTATAGCTTTTCTGTTTTTTGTTTTGTTTTGTCTTGTTTTGTTTTTAAGCTCTTTGATTTTTCATGTTCAGTTTTTTTGGGTCCCTTAAGCGTCTGTTTTTGCCTGGATGAGGATGTTACACTACAAGTTTAAAAAGTATGCTCCAGAGATACTTAGAAGAGTTGGCTTCTAAACTACTACTACCTTATTTGCTTGGCCCTAACCTTTCTCTTGGATAATCTTTTTAATCCCCTGATACTCTCTGAAACTATTTTTGCCCAACTATTCTAGTCTAATACAGTGATACAGTATGTTACATCACTTCCTGAAGTAATGGTTTGGTGGAAAAACACAGATTTGAGATTGAGTAGAAATATCAAATAAGCGTGTGTTTTTTTGTTTTTAATTCTCAAGATGAATCCTAATTTCTTTACATACAAGAAAAAATACTACTAATTCTTGAGGGACTATGCTAAATGAAATGGTTTAACATGTGAAAGGCATATCTGGTATAGAGTGATGCCCAAGAAATGGTTAGGTCCTTTCCCTTTTCTTTGGCTTCCAATYTACTGTGCTGTCTCTGTGCATCCACTTCAGTCTCACCTCTTTCTTCACTCTCATTGTCAAAAATCACAGATAGTTTCACATCTTGATCTGTCCCTGAGATCACACTGGGCCTAATCTGACAACTGTTGAACTTTATTGCTCATTAGAGGTGCCTGTCTCAAGTTCTCAGTGGGTTTAATTGAAAGCAAGACATTTAACATGACKGTCTATTATAATGGGACTTTTCTCTTTAAGATTTTTGGTGCTTCCATTGCCTATTTTCCACATGGCCTCTGCTCTTCAACTTAAGGATTTCCATTTGTAGCCTTAATTCATGTAAAATGTAGATCATCAGAAAATATAAACAGAATCATATAGATGAGAGATTTTTATAGTATTTATGTTAAAATAGATCATTATTGTTAGTTTTGTTACACATTTTAGACAAATATAAATATCGAAAATATTCAGCTGCACAAAATAATCAAAGTAATAAAACAAAAATCTTTGTTTAATTAGAAAAATTCATAGTAGTACTAAGTGCTGGGAATTACGCAATAAGTGATATTCTCAGAAATATTGTAAACAGCATAAATAGAACATATCATTGAATGTATTACATGTCGCCATTTGTAATTAGATATTTGGGATTCTGTTTTCTTTTTACATTCTTTTTCATGTGTAAGCATTTACATTATGAATCACAGTAGCGATAGCCTTCTTCTTCAACTCTGGCAGATTTGAAAAGTAACCCTAAAGGAATCATCCATAATGGGAAGGGGGAGCATGGGAGGAATGGAGGAGCTTTGGATAGGGCAAAGGGGAGGGAGGGGAAGGGAGGGGGTATGGGGGTAGGAAAGACAGTGGAATGAGATAGACATCATTATCCTAGGTACATGTATGAAGACCCAAATGATATTACTCTACTTTGTGTACAACCAGATTAATGAAAAATTGTGTTACACTTGTATACTATGAATCAAAATGAATACTGATGTCATGTATAATAATTCGAACAAATAAATAAAAAAAAWTAAAAAGGAATTATCCAAAATGTATAAAAAGATGCAAATAAAAAGATTTATTGTTGTTTTATTTGTGTGTATGTATAATTTTTTTTTTCATTTAAAAGCTGCTACTTTTGTGAAGGCCCTGGCCCAGGAAAGTCCATGAAAAAAACATATAAAAGGGACACTTATTCAGACTCTGAATTTTCATTATCTCTTACTAGACCTCTATAAGTCTATGATTTGTTTATAAGAGAAAAAAAAAGGAAAGGAAATGGAAGAACAGAAGGAAAAGAAAGGAACTAGGAAGGAAGGAAGGAACAAGTGAAGGAACCAAGAAGAAACAACTAAATTTCCAGCAATAGAAGAATGGCCAAGTTAATTGTGATAGATTCCCAAGAAGGAATGCTATGGAACAATAAAGGGATAAACTTCAAAATCTCCACCTTCATAATAATGAATTGAATAAGCTAGTTGCAGAAGGACATACCATAAGATAGTATAGGAAGATTTAAAATGTGTAAAATATTATAGGATATTTTTTCTGTTTATATACTTGTCACAATAGTACTTTTAAAATACAATAAGGTTATCTAATACGATGGTTACCTCCATGGAGAGGGAGGGAAATAATTAAAGACACTGCATAGGAACTTAGCCCACATTTGTAATGTTTAGTGAATGCATAAGTGTCAATCATATGATTTTCTACATATTTCTGTATGACTGAGTATTTCATAATTTCAAAAAAGGAGAATTCACTAATTTAAAAACTCAAACTTTTTAAGGCATATCATCCTGTCTTAAGAAAACAGTCAAATATTAATTTTAAAATCCATAATCCTCTTGATTATTTTCGAGGTATTGTTCTGTATTAAATTATCATTTTTATATGTAAGAAGTCATAAAGCAGTAAATACTRATTTCTATATAAATTATAAACTATTGTTAACATTTATTTAAAAAAAATTTTTTTAGTTGTGGATGGACTGTTTTTTATTTATTTATATGTGGTGCTGAGAATCAAACCCAGTGCCTCACACATACTAGGCAAGTTCTTTGCCTATGAGCTACAACCTATCCCCTACTTTTCAAGATTTTTAAAAAATATTTATTTGTAGTTGTAGTTAGACACAATACCTTTATTTTATCCATTTATTTATTTTTTATGTGGTGCTGAGGAGCGAACCCAGGGCCTCGCATGTGCTAGGCAAGCGCTACCTCTGAGCCACGCATGACCCCAGCCCAACYTTTTTAAAGATTTTATTGGAGGACTTTCTCATATATTCTCTGAGGAATATTATTTCTCAGTTTACTTATGATATTGAGTATTGTTTATGTACTGTCAATTAAAAAAAGAAGAGTTTCTTGACCCCCTAGCTGGGCTTTGTGTATTGTAGCTAACTATTATAGCTACTATGACTGATGGGAATGCACCTAGTATTTCTGATGCTGCTGCTGGGTGCTTTTTTTCCAAGGTTGTGTGCCTGTAAGGATATCATAAAAGGGAGAACCTTATGGAAACTGGGGAATTCCCAATTGAAAAATGAGTGATTTTAATTTTTTTTGAGTTTCATTTTCATCCATTAACTTTATGGTTTACATTCTTGTATTTCAGGGAAAGGTGGCTCAGACAGCATGTATGTCAGCGTGCAAGCACTTAGCTACATCCTTGATGCAACTTTTGCTGGAAGCTGAAGTAAGGCAGCTTACCTTGGGAGCATTACAGCAGTTCAACCTGGATGTCAGAGAATGTGAACGTAAGAGAGTGAAACACCCCTTTGCTTTTTTTGTCTTACTTGCATATTCGCTTTTGGGAAGGGGGAAAAAAAAGTTTTGTCTTTAGTGTCCTTGTTCCTGATGGAATCAGACTGAATAGAGAAAAGAAATATTTTATAGGACATTTAGAAATGAGCATATCAACAAGCTAATTTGAATGTCTAAAAATGCCTAGACCTGTATTTAATATGGAAGAGCTGTCTAGTCACAAGGAAGCTTGCAATCTAGAGAGGGATATAAGGCAGAGGTRCATTTAATAGACACCATTTAAAACCTGTTAAGTCCAAAGATAGTCAAAAGAATGTAGTTCCTAATCACTTTGCTTTGAAATTTTATTTTGAAACTAAGTACATCTTATGTGCAAACTCTTTTTAGTCTGCAGTACAAATGGTGTATGYATTGATCAGTCAGAAATGTTTTCTGTTTGGAAAATAAAAAACTTTAGAAAGTGATTTTAAAAATGTTTTATTGGGCTGGGGATGTGGCTCAGGTGGTGGCGCGCTCGCCTGGCATGCGTGCGGCCCGGGTTCAATCCTCAGCACCACATACAAACAGGGATGTTGTGTCCTCTGAAAACTAAAAAATAAATATTAAGATTCTCTCTCTCTCTCTCTCTTTCTCTCTCTCTAAAAAAAAAAAAAAAAAAAAAAAAAAAAGTTTTATTTTTCTCAGAGGGAACCAGTTGCTCTATTGGTTAGTTGCTCTGTGACATCATCATTGGGGAACCAGACTCATTTTTTTATTCTCTGCTGTATTTAGAATGTGGACTTTTTATCCTTATTATGTAGAATTACATAGACTCACCAGTGACAGATAGGAAATTTTCAGATAAGAGCTTCTGAAAAAAACCTTACATAATATATTCCATAATTTAAAAGATAAGATGAACATGATTGGTTGAAAATTCGCTCATTATTGARGAAAAAGTATTAACTTAATTATTCAAGAAGCTTTAAAGTCTTCAGCAGGATAAACCAAAGAAAGCCACATGAAGGTATGTTTTGGTCAGGTTGCTAAATAAATGATAAAAGGAAAATTTTAAATCTGTTGAAGAAAAAAGGCATATAAGAAGTACTGAAAACTTTCTATCAGAAATAGTGCAAACTAGAAGGCAGTAAAATGATAACATTGAAGTGCTAGAAGAAAAAAAGAATCCTATCAACCCAAATAAAACTCTGTTATCCCAGGCTGGGGATGTAGCTCTGTGGTAGACCACTTGCTTACTAGCATTTGTGAGGGAGGCCCCAGGTACAAATGAAAATATTCTTCGAAAATTAAAAGTAAAATAAAGATATTTTCAAATAAACAGAAATTGAAAGACTTTTTCACCAAAAATTGGTACCACAGCAAACCTAGAAGGTAATTTTCTACACCAAAGCAGGTCTATAGTGTAGACTGCATTTTTCAAAGATGTCTACTACGCAATACCTTGTTTACCACATATTTTTCTATAGCCTTCATGCTACCCCATTAAGAGGAGGTATCTAATCACCCTCCCCTTGGATCTAGACAAGCATGTAACTTGATTGTAACCAATAGAACATGGCAGAAGTAGCTGTTTGTGAATTCCAAGGCTACATCATACAAGATGATGCAGCTTCCATATCCTTGGTGAGATGCTAATGACAGCCCAGCTGCCCTGAGGCCTCCATTCTAGTCAGGAAGCCCTTGTGGAAGAGACCACATTGAAGAAGGCCTGAGAGTACAGGGGGAGAGAGAAAGAGAGAGAGAGAGAGAGAGAAATCTAACCAATGACCAGTTGTCTCATTGATTTCTGCCTTTATTGCTTTCTTCTACTTAGTTTTTATTAATTTTTCTTTAGTTACTTTAGGTAGAAACTCAGATATGTTGAGGATTTTATTTGAATCTTAGAAATTATTCTTTAATTACTGTTTTAGCTAAAGTCTATAAATTTTGATATGTTATTAATTTGCGGTGGGGGGGCAGGACCTTGACCACCGAGCCACATCCCCAGCCCTGTTTTATATTTTATTTAGAGACAGGGTCTCACTGAGTTGCTTAGCACCTTGCAGTTGCTGAGGCTGGCTTTGAACTGGCAACCCTCCTGCCTTAGCCTCCTGAGCCAGTGGGATTACAGGCATGCGCCACCACACCCGGTGTGTTATTAATTTTTATTCAATTGATGTTTTCAGATTACTCTTGTGWTTTCTTCTTTGATATATTGGTTATTTAGAATATTTCCCAAATATTTAGACATTCTTATCGTTATGCTTGTATTGCAAATTCTAAGTTTATTGTCCTTTTTGGCCAGAGAATGTACTTTGCATAATTTCAGTTTTTTTTAAATTCATTGAGACTTATTTTATGACCCAGGATATGGTAGAGTTTGCTAAAATTCTGTTTGCACTTGGAAAGACTATGTGTTTCGTTATCACTGTATGGTATATTTTATAAATATCAAATGGGTAAAGTTCGTTGATAGTGTTATTCAAGGCTCATATAGTYTCACTGATTTTCTTTATACTTATTCCGTCATTTACTGACAGGGTGTTGAAATAATTTTCATTAGTGGATTTCAGTTCTATCAGCTTCATATATTTTGAATCCCTATTAGTAGGTACATACATACTAAAGACTATTATGTCCCCATGATACCTTGATACCTTTATTATTACAAAACGACCCTCTTCATCCTTTAATATTTCTTGTTTGAAAAATCTACTTTTTATGATATTAATATAGTTCCACCCAAGTTTTTAYGATTTGTTTTTACATAAGAATATTCTTTTCCATTCTTTTAAAAATATGTATTTTAAAGTTGTACACAGCATATAGTCAGGTCTTCCTTTTTAATTCAGTATGACAATCTGTGATTTTTTTTAGTTGAGTTGATTAGACCATTTATATTGAATATAATTTTTAATATGAATGTGTTTAAATTGACTATTATTTATTTTTTACTTTTCACATTCAAACTTTTACCCATTTTTAAGAAATAAAGAGGGAGGAAGATGATAAACTAAAATATATGCACCTTTAGGGGGAATGATCGCCTGGGAGGAGCAGTGGAGAGAGACTAAGCAGCCTGAAGTACATTTTATTTAGAAGAATTATTAGTGTCTACTTGAAAGAACTATTCAGTGCATCATCATCTTTAGTAGAAGGAGCAGCTTTCAGTTAAGACTAAGAAATGGAGAGATCATTTATTGAAAAGGTGGAAACATAATAGTTTGTTAACCATGTAAAAGGGGCTCGAGGGAGCTAATATTTTTTTCTGAAAAGCTGATAAGTATTTGCAATAGCCTTCAGACTTAGGATCAACTTGATGCTAACATTTGAAGGGCATGTCAGTACTGCTAATAACCATAATATCAGCACTGAAAATTTTCTTCCATATATTGTGGAGCCACTAAGGTTCATTGATTTAGAATTTAATGTTTTATTTCTGATTGGCAGTAATTTGTCTGTCAAGAAACTTTCCATGGACATTTATTTTACTTCAAAAGAAAGAGTTCTATTCTATGTCTCTGCCTATACCACCCCCCTCTTTTTTTTTTCTTTAAATGCTCAGTGGTCTATAAAAAAAATCTTAAAGAAATGATACATAAAATTCAAGTAACTATACAGAGGCGTATAAAAGAAGCCCCAAATGACAAGATAATTAACACTTATATTTTTCTATCCAGTGGTGTGTGTGAGAGATATTTTTCCATTTTTTTTTTCCTTTTTGTGTGTGAGTCCTTGGAAGAACTATATAGGTCTTGAAAGAAATCAAACCTTGGACAATATCTAAAGTGAATGTACCTTGAATGTACCTTGAGTGTACTCTGAGGCCTGAGCTGCCATTTTCTTAGATCGCAAATGCACAGAGGAATTATRTACACTACCACAAGCCTGAAATAATCAGCTAGTGTAGTGCAGTCATTAAGAATGAGATTTTAGTGTCAGTACAATAGAATGGATCAAATCGCCAATTACTTTTAGAGAGACCACTGGCATAGTTCCTAATATTATAGGGATGGGATCACAACTAAGTGAAATAATGCATGAAAGTATTTCTTTCCTTGGCTGGTATATATGCAATAATTAGTACCTGGTCCTGTTGTTATAATCATCAGAGCAGCAGCAGCAGTAGCTAGTGTCTATCTAGTTACTCTCAGAAAGTCTTTTGCAGACCATTGAACCTTTGTCTAGAGTTTGTCAATKTGTGGTGTCTAAAGATGCCACCTAATTTGGTATAAGAAATTAACTTTTGCTTCTCGGTAGTTATCTGTGAAACTGCTATGGTTTCTGAAAGGTATAATCGAAAACTTATGATTTTCTAATTCTTAGCTGGATGCTTTTGTAAAAAATCAGTCAGCTCAACTGTTCTCTAAGAATGGTAACGACTACCTAGGATATCATTATCTAACAGGAGCATTGCTGTTAGGTAATTCTTACTGACAGGCTACTAAACTTTTAAGGTAGAAGTTATTTGGGAAATGTGAAGCAATTATCTTTTTTCCTTTAAGAATTGACAGTGAATTCTTGAGTTTTTCTGCTTTGAGTGAATTTTCTTATCTCTTCATACCTTTATGTTGTTATTGAACAATGGATCCTGGGTTTTAAACACCAGAAGGTTTTGATTTTACCTCCATGATTTTTTATTTTGATTTTTATCTACCTCCATGATCCAACCTGGGCTATTGTGTCTTCAGTTCACTATAATATCAAGTCGCCAATTACTTTTAGAGAGACCATTGGCATAGTTCCTAATATTATAGGGATGGGATCACAACTAAGTGAAATAATGCATGAAARTATTTCTTTCCTTGGCTGGTATATATGCAACAGTATGTGTGGGGTTTAGAATTTCCTAAATATTCGTTTTTCATATTCAATATGAGGAGATGTAGATTAGTATTCCAGCTCAACTCCTTGTTATCATCATTAATCATTGAACTATTCATTTATTTAACAAATGTATGTTCAGCTTTTATTCTGCAATATACTTTGCTGGACCCTGAAGATAAAATGGGAT